CCTCGACATTCAGCATTCTCAACCACGTCGGCGCCATTCGAAACAGACAGGAGTTTGCCAAAACCTGGTGTGCGACAGCAATGTGTCACGGCGCGTTTGGAGAATTGCTCGGAGGGCGTGGGCGCCGCCGATGTGCTCGAAGGCGCCCGGCAAAACATGTCGGCCGCGAATGGGGCTGCATCCGAGGTCTTGCCTGGCGAGCCGCCCCAACCCATGCGACCGTGGATCAGTGGCCGGACACTGCAGCTCATCCAAGAAAGAGCGCAGGCTCGAGTGGACGGGAACGCCGTTCTGGAGAAAGAGAAGCACGAAGCTGTGCGAAAATCTGCACGAGAAGATAAATCCAAATGGCTGGAATCTTTGGCGGCGACTGGTTCCTGGAACGATATCCGGAAGTTCCGAAACCCCCGTCCCGCCAAGCAGGGGCGGCTCTGGAACTTTCAAGGATAATTAGTCAGCAGCGAAGACCGCGCGGATACCATGGCAACGTACCTCGAGACGGTGCAATGGGGCGTGCGTCCAGCCGACGTTGTCGACGCACCCGCCAGTGGACCTGCGTTGCCGGTCAACTTGGCCAATTTCACGGATGACGTTGTCCGAACATGTTTGAGGAAGCTGCGCGATGGCAAAGCACCCCGGCCAGACGGTACCCCACCATAATATTGGAAGGCACTTGCAGACGACTCCAAGGCACTACAACGCATTGCGACTTTTGTGAATCATTGTTGGCAAGGGCAAAGGGTTCCGCAAGGATGGCACAAAGCAAGGGTACCAGCAATACACAAGACATGAAAACATATGATTGCGCGAACTATCGACGAACCAGTCTTCTCGCGAATGGGTAGAACGTATTCGCGTCTTTGTTGCACCGGCGTTTGGTGGAGGCAGGAGCTGAATCCAGGCTGACGGGATCGCTATTTGGTTTTCGATCGAAGCATGGGGCACAAGAGGCGATTGTTGCGCTCCGTCGGCGTATAGATTTGGAGCTTGGTACATCATCAGGTAATATGTACGCATTGGCCATGGATTGGCAAAAAGCTTTCGACTCCATCAACCCTTCGGCCATGCTGAGCGGTCTGCGACGTTTCGGCTTGTCCGAGCACATATTGGAGGTCATGGGTGCGGCTTACATTGACAGGATCTTCGAGGTGCGGGACTGCGGGGCGACTTCTTCCTGGAGGCCACAGTCCTTTGGGATATTGCAAGGATGCCCTCTATCACCCTTCTTGTTCGTGATGATCATGACAGTAAACATCGCAGACGCTGTCTCCCAACTTGCAGCAGAACGCAGAGCACTCTGGGGCGGTGTATCCCTTGCAGTTTTGCTGCGCGCGGACGGCGCGCTGATTCTGGGAAGGACGAAGCGGGCAGTGGAAGACATATTAGCTGCTATTCCGATTCCTGGGACATCGCATGGCATGGAGCTGCGCCCAGACACGTTCCAACTGCTCCAAATCAGATGCGCAAGCAGTATTCAAGATTCGAATGGACATCATACGGGCGCAAGAAGACATGATTTTTTTGGGCGCCTTGATTTCTGGAGCAGGCGCCGCGGGCAAGGAGCTCAGTCGCCGCCTGGGCGCGGCGCGCGCCGACTTTGACAAGCCGCGCAAGGCATGGCGACATTCGGGCTTGATCAGACGCAGAAAATGAGGTCTACATCGCCGTCGTTCTAAGCAAACTCGCGCATGGTTCATCGGCGTCGTGGCTGAATGCTGCGGAGAGAAGGCGGCTGGATAGCTTCAATTGCCGGTGTCTTCGTGTAGTATGGGGAATCGAACCCGCATGCATCTCCAGGGCGAGCAACGCGATAGTCTTAGACAGAACGGGACAACACTTTCTGACGGACACAGTGGCACGACAGCAGCTTCTCCTGCTTGGCAAAATCGCCAGGACACCAGAAGGGAGCCTCCTCAGGAACGCCACCTTCTGTCCTGGAAGTTTCAGGCCGGCAGCAGACCGATACGTGAGAAAGGTAGGCCGGCTACGCGCAGACTGGACAACCCAGGTTCTACGAGTCGCTTGCGCGGCGGCAGGTGGCGTGTCAAAGTTGCGCCCACTCTTGGCGAATGAAGCTTCCGGGCGGTAATTCGTACAGTGCCGTTTTTAATGCATGCTCCGCGTGCGGATCATGCATTAACAATGCAGGGATTCAGTATCAAAAACAACGATGAGTTCATGCATAAATTTGTTCACAAAGTTAACCATGTATTAGAATCTTTTTTGTTTTAAAACCCTATGTCTTACATGCTGTCCTGCGCGCTCAGCAAAGCTGGCCGCATAGCGCCGCGCGGTCCGAATGTGAGTTTTTAGTCCGCAGCATTTTGTCCAGTCCAGTGTCCTACGCACCTTCGGGTGCATGACTTCTTGCTTGCTTGCTTGCAGAATCGCTGCATGGAGCCGGCGCACCTGATGGCCAACGTACTACCCGTGCGCGACCAGGAGGAAGAACGATGGCAGTGCCACCCTGAAGGTGCCAAGCGCTTCAGGAGCACGCGGAGGGATAACTGACATGACTGGCGGCATGCCGACACGGGGCCTGCGGCTTCGACAAGACGAGCTCGTCAGATGCTGCAGCATGCCCAACTTCCTCCTCGAATTCTTCAAGCAGCTCTGGGGGCACCGTCTACCCGCTGACAACCAGAAGGGCGACTTGAGCGACATCATCTGCAAGTCCACCGCGTGCGCGTGCATGGGCTGCGGGGCGCGGGCGCAGCAGAGGCGCAAGCTGAAACTCAGGGGGGAGTGCGCGGGGCCGGCTGCGAAAGGATTGGAAGCGCTCGCCAATTTCAGGAGGGGCGTCGGCCACCGCGAGAAAGTTGGCGCGACGCATCGACGCCATGATACTTCCAAGCAACAGATGAAGATCCCCCAGCCCGGCCCCCGCTGCACCACGACAATAGCGGGAGCCAGTCCAAGTGGCCTGTAGGCATACAAGGCGAAGATGGCAGATCTGCAGGAGCGAACCAAAGCGAAGGAGACGGCAGCCCAAGAGAGTGCCGATGAACCAGATAGTTTCCTGGGCCGCAGCGGACTGTTGGCTGCTGCTGATTGCGCTCCGCATCCTAATTTTTTTTGTGCTTAAGCTATCCCGAAATCATCAGCCAAAGCGGGCACAGAGCGCATCCGGCTCTTTGTCCAGTGGGGGCCAGGACATTGTGCGGAGGCGGATTCGCAATATGAGGTTGAGCGGCAGCGGCAGGTGCAGTAATGTTCAAATGCCGTTGGCGGGTTCGCACCACCACCTAGTGCTTGCCTTGTGGATGGAGGCCAGCAGTAGAAGTGTAGAGCAGCCTGGCGGCACGCATGGTCAGGCGGATCTGACAACGCTCGGGTGCCCTCGATTGCCCGAGCAAGAAGAGACAGCTGCAGGTACAGCCTGGCGGTGCGTGTGGTCTGGCGGGTCTGGCAGTGCTGTTGAGCCGCGTGTTGGTGGACCACATGTGCTACGTGGAGGCAGCAGCCCTGGCCCCAGCTTCTCCATTGGATATGGGGCGCTGCTGGCCTGCATGGTTGTAGGTGGATGTGCCCCCCAGCGCGGCTGCTCCACCTCATGTGCCTGACGTGCTTCGTCGATTGCATTCCCCCGAGAGGGGGGCGCGCCGCCGATCGGCGTGCGCGTATGGGGGCGCGGCTGCCGCCGCGCCCCGCCAGTGGAAGAACCTGCGGTTTCGCAGAGCTCAGTATTAGTATTGTTGTTGTTGGTGGTGTTGTTGTCGCTGTTGTTGGTGATGGTGTTGTTGTTGCTGTTGCTGTTGCTGATGCTGTTGTTGTTGTGTTTGTTGTTGTTGTTGTTGTTTTGGTTGTTGGTGTTGGTGTTGGTGTTGTTGTTGTTGTTGCTGTTGTTGTTGTTGTCACCAGTACTGGTATTATTATGTTTGTTGTGCCATGTTCCTCCTCCTCCTCCTCCTCCTCCTTTTCTCCTCCTCTTCATCATTATCATATTTTTTCTCCGCCTCCTCCTCCTCCTGCTCATCCTTTCTCGCCTCCTTCTACTCCTCCTTCCTTCATTAAAAAAGCCTACTGCCCTTGCCGCTGCCGTTGCCTACAGTGGGGGGCCATGCAAAGAAACACCCTACGTTTCGACCAGGTTCCTTGGGTTTCTTTGGTTGGCGTTCGGCGCGGAAGATCGCCGCAATTTCGAAGAAATTGCAAATGCCAGGGCAAACTGGGTTTCTTGAGCGTCGGTCAGTTTCGGGGCGCGCGCCCGAACCTCCAAGAAACTTCCGGGCATTCGGGGTACCTTGGGCTTCATCGCCTGCCATTTGGATTGTTCGTCCAGCGTTGCCCATCCACCCGCTGGGGTTCGTCAGTGTTTCAAGTGGGCGCTGGCGCATGTCGTGGCGCATGCCCGAAAGTGGGTGCATTTCGGGGCGCATTTCTTGATGTCAAGTTGCTTGACGCCGTCAGTCAAGAAACCGCTCGGGCCAGGGTGCCCTGGGTTGATTCGTTTGTAGCCGAAGTGGAAGAAACCCAACTCTGGACCAAGAAACCTCTGCGGATTTCAGGGTTGGGTTTCTTGCGGTGGGTGTCTTTTGCATCGACCCCCACCGTAGCTAGCTTTCGTCCCTTAGGGGCCTCCTGGGAGGCCCTCGTCGCCACGGCTGGGTACGCCTCGAAATCCTGATCAGAACGCGCCCTGGGAGAGATTTGGGGAGTTGCGGTACAGTCGGGCCGCTGAAAGAAGGAACGCTAACTAAGGAACGACACCCCTTCTTGGCCCTGAAAGCGCCTCCGTGCCCCAGGAGGGCAAGAGGAACAGCACTGGAGGAACCTAAGGAACATCGAGCCCCTTCCGAACCCAAACTGTTCCTTATTTCAACGTCTTGACTGTATCGGTATCTTCTGGTATCCCCAGTGCGCTCGGCAGCTGGGGGGCACTGAACGGCGGGATGCAGACCCCAATGGGCCCCTGAGTTGCAGGCGCGGGGCCTGGAAGGTGTTGCAAGGGCGCGCGCGTTTCTCCCCCCCCCCCCCCCCCGTTTGTTCACCCTTCGCAGGAGACCGTGGAGCTGACCCCATTCTTCGGCGCTGGCATCGGAGGAAGAGAAACGGGCACAACTGACAAATTGTGGAGCTCCGCGCGGATTTTACGGATCGGCGCTGAACCTTTTCCTCGGCGCGCTGGAGGCGCCGCCGGGGAGGTCAGCGCCGATCCAAGAATCGGCGACGCGCCCGATTGGCAAGGCAGAGAGGGGGCGTGCCTTCTCAGAAAGCTCAGAAGGCTTCGGGCCTCCTAAGAAACTGGGGCCTCCTGAGGATCCTCATCGCCGCCGCTTTTCGAACGTGCCTTCTCAGAAAGCTCAGAAGGCTTCGGGCCTCCTAAGAAACTGGGGCCTCCTGAGGATCCTCATCGCCGCCGCTTTTCGAACAAAAAAGGCCTGCCCCCCCCCTCACTTCCCCCCTCGGCGCGCGGCCGGAGGAAATCCGCGCGGAGCTCCAGCAGTTTGTTATCATGCCGTCTGCTCTTCCTCTGGAGATTGTTTTTGTTACTCGGCGAACCCGTAAGAGGTCCACTACGGGGGGCGCCCCCCCCCCCTTCCTCCCTTCCTCCCTCCTTCCCGTAGCGGTACCCAACGTAGGCGGGGGGGCGCTGGTTCCCCCACATGCACGGCGCGAAACTCACACGCATGCTGTGGCGCTCGCCGGCCCGACCCCCCCCCCTCCCCACCGCTGCGCGGGCGCTACGGTTCGGGGGGTGCAGAAACATGCTCCTGCAGCAGCCAGTTCTACTCGCTGCAGCTGCGCCTGCCGCTGGGCCTGCGGCTCACGAAGTGCCAGGACCCGGGGCCGCGGTGCGGTGCCTTTGTGGTCGAGGAGGTGCTCGGTGGCAACGTGAAGGGAGGTGGATAGGCCCAGATGTTACGTTAGGCAAACATGAGCGACGAGGCTGTTGCTGGATAGGCTCAGACGTGCCCCCTCCCGTGCTCTCGACCCCTTCCGTCGTCGTCGTCGTCGTCGTCGTCGTCGTCGTCGTCGTCGTCGTCGATGGTCGTCACCTCCGCCGCCGCCATCGGGGGGCGTGGGCGCACGCTCTTCGCCGAGCGGGGGCCACTTGCTGAGGCTAATAGAGGTTCGAGGGGCGAGAACGGATTGGCGGCGCGCACACCGGGGTTGGGAGTGCTCAAGGGGGAAGGCTGGGGGGGAGCCCCCAGCGCGGGCGTTCAAGTTTGAGCACCGCCCGTCAGGGGCAACGTTCAAGGTTCGAGATTTTCGGGCGTGTTCGTCGGTTCTCGGCGGTTTTCCAGCCTCGGGAGTGCTCTTCAGCAGCTGCGCTTTGCCAAGAGCTTTCTGGGGGTGCTGGAATCGTCTCGAACGGCCGCCAGAGGCAGAAGTTTGAAAAGCCCGGAGCGCACGGTCAGGGGCAATTATCGGGGGCGGACAGAACCCCCAACAGTGACACGTCGATTAGTGAATTGTCCGTTTTCGGCTCTCGAGAGGGCGCCGCGGCCGTTATTTTCCAGGCTTGCGCCCGCCAGGTTTGGGCCTCAGGTGGTTTTCACTAAACCACGTTTAACTAAAGGGAGGTCGCCCATCGATCGCCGAGAAGTATGGGCCCGATGGCCCTCCCCGCCCAGGACCCTGCGGCCTCGCCGATCCGTCGGCGATGTATCGCCGATTACACGTCGACTTGGCATCGCTCGGACGTGTGCATTTGCTCTTTGGCGGGGACCATCGAGGAGCATCCTTGATCATTTGGCAAGAAAAAACACGCACGAAACCGAAAAAAAAACATAGGGACTGGATGTCCGAGCGATGGCCAGTCGATGTTTCCCCCCCCTGAGCCAGCCCCCCCGAACATTGCCTCTCAGGTGCTGCCGGGCGGCACGGGGGAGGCGTCGGGCGCGGTCCTGCAGGGTGACATTCTGCAGTCCCTGAGCGTCGTGGCCGACAACATGGACATCGGAGGAGGACGAGGTATTGATACCGCTGCGTGTTTCTCGTCGTTTCGGCTGGATTCGCCTCGACATCTCAGTCAGAGCGCACCTTGGGAGAGGTCCGTAGAGTAGCGGTATCGATGTCTTCCTGTTTTGCGAGGACATGGGCATGAAGACCGAGGATTTCGTCTCGAGCGTCGTCGGAGGTTTCGGCCGTTACAGGCAGTCCATGTGCGATGCCACGTTCATCGACACGACGGACGATCTGGTTGAGTCTGTGAAAAGCAACACGGTCTTCGGCGGAGACGTTACACTCACCCTTGTTTTCGAGAGGGACACAGCGTTGTCGCCTGCAGCGCCAGACCCTCTAACCCCACTGCCCGATTAAATCGTCGGCCCGTGGCTCATGTTCCAGATCATCTGGTTTATGGGAGCGCTCTGCCAGTTCGCTACATACATCTGGCCGCAAGTGAATTTGTGATTGACTCGAACATGTTTTTAACAGTGTGGGACAGCTCAAGACTGTCGCACGACATTTCTGTGCTAGTACTGCTGGTGCTGTTGGTAGGCATTTCTGCGACGAAGCACGTGGCCACGTCCATAACACAAGAAGGCAGCGCGCGAAAAGAAGAGCGTGGCGAGTCAAGCTGGAATGAGGGAGGAACACATCGAGCCATCGCTGCCCATTTGCCCGATTTTTTCCGGCGTGACATCCAGCATTGTCCAACATATCCCCATCCCCACGAGGTCATGGCATCTCAGCCCCACCAGCCCACCATCCTAGGTGCGTTTTGGCCCCATGAAGCCTGATACTCATCTTCCTATATTTTTGCAAGCCCAGGCGGGGGACCCCCCCCCCACCCCCCCCACCCAAAACCGGACTCCCGGGATCTGGAGCTTTGGGACCCTCCGGACGGGCCTCGAAGCGGCCCCCTGGGCCTCGCAGGGCGTTTTGCCAAGCCTTCCCAGCACACCTAGGGCGATCATGGGGGTCATCGGAGACGTCCCAGAGACCCCCAAGACAGCACAAGAGCGCTCCAAGAGTGACCGACGTGACCTCAAGATGGCCCAAGAGGCTTCCAGGACGGCCCCAAAGAGTCCTCCAAGAGCACTCCCAAGAAGGCCCCACTAGGCAAACATCATTGATTTTCTGATGTTTTTTCGTGAATTTTGGGGTTCTCCTCTTCTCGGCTTCCCAACGCTCCAAGACGGCGGTCTACTGGGCGTCCGAAGCCGCCTTGGAGGGCTCCCATCCGAAAGGGCTTCCAGGCAGTCCAAGAGAGCCCCAAAATGGCACAACATGGGTCCAAGATGGCCCTCAGAGAGCCCCAAGGCGGCCCAAGATGGCCCCAAGACACCCTCCGAAGCATTCCAAATCGTGACCCGGTCGTTCAGGGAGACCGCGGTTGGAGGCAGGGTGGCCCGAGGAA